AATGTCTCAATTTTCTTTTTAAATGGCTACCTAGTATTCTCCTGTATGAATCTATGTAGTATTCATAATCAGTCCCCTGAAAATTTTACACATCATAATGAGTATTCATGCACATATTCCTTTAAACCCATGAGCCTAAAGATTTTCAAAGTAAGAAACAGAAAAAAAATCCTAGTGATGCACCAGTTAATATAAATTAATGGCCTGTGTGCCAGAACTCTCCCTGCAGGACACGTTGCCACAGTCTATGATACAGTTTTTCTAACATCAAATTGATGAGTGTGCCAGGCACAGCTTCAGTGACTCGGATACAGGACAGTGAAGGACGTCTCTCGGCCCCTCCACAAGCCTCTTTTGGAACTGAGGAGTGACTTCCTGGATCTTCCCTTGAACATTTCCTGGATGCTATACATTAGGCACAGGCCAGGCACCAGGGACATTTGGAAGGTGCTCAGTAAATATTCTGATGATGTTAAACTGTAGCCTGGCTACCTCGAGGAGCCCTCAGTAAATATAAGTAGCTTACATGTCCCCAGTGTGCATCCCTGGGTAACTATTAGGATCCATTTCTAAGATACGATGCCTTTTTAAGTTTCTCTGCTGTAACAGTTCTTAAGCCACAGATTTAAAATCCCCGGGCAACAGGAGAAGGAAAAGAAGAAAAGATTTTTATGTGCCCTGGCCCCAGCTGGAAGTTGCTCCCGGATGAAGTGGGATTCCTGCCTTTATCCTAAATCGCAAGATACCATTTGCCAGGAGGCAGCCTCTCAACTGATCCTCCCATGAGATCCAGCCAATGAAAGGATCATCCAGGAGCTTCAATCGTTCATTTTTTTTAAGTTTACAGAAGTCTCTTATTTTATCTCAAGTGTAGCTCTAAGTGGTCAAGAGCACAACCTACTAGAACACGTGGATCCAAATCCCAGCTCAGCCAGGTGCTGGCTTCAGGAGCAAGTTCTTTATTTATCTCACGTGCAAAACAGGAACAATGGACCTTCAGCGTGGAGATATAATTAGGCCTAAATGCCATAGTCCATGTAGAACACTTACCACAATGCAGGGCACACAGGGAGTGAGAAATGCTAGTGGTATTGTTATTAGTGAGGTGGGTATTGCAAATGGCATTATTGCATCTGTTATTCTCCCCATTTTGAGAAAAAAAAACCGAGGCTTGGAGTATGCTGGTTCTAGTAATCACCAAATACACACACATGTGAGCATATTGCACATGCTGCCTTGTTTCATTGGTGATCCAGGGTAGAAAACACTCAAGGCCATGATAAGTGTGTCTCAAGAGACTCATGCTGGGCTGGGCTGGGGTTGTAGCTCAGAGGCAAAGCACATGCCTCTCATGCATGAGATACTGGGTTCAACCCTCAACACTACATAAAAATAAATAAATAAAGATATTGTGTACATCTACAACTAAATATATATATATATAGAGAGAGAGAGAGAGAGACTCATGCTTCAAAGGTCAAAGTGAGTAACTATCTTCCAGTAAGCTACATACCACAGAAGGAGCCGTGGATGGCCACTCGTGGGGTTACAGCATTTGAGAGATGTGAGATTATGAATGTAAAGCTGAATGAGTTTGAATTTATGCCCAGATAGGGATAACTAGAGATGAGCGCACGATTGTGCTGACTTAAAAGGATACTGCATGCAGCTCTGTGGTTTGAACTAGCACATGTGAACGGACACCTTAGTGCTCACTGTGACCCCTGTGACCTGCACAGACCTCAGCTTCTCCGCAGCCAGAGCTGGGGGTCAGGGGCTCCAGAATTGGCCTCTTGAGCCAAGTACTATTCATCACAGCTTAGCTTTTGGTTCCTCTTTGTGCTGCCTGAACCAGGGTCTGGTCAGCCACCTTTAGCTTTGGATGGTGTCCAGGTATGGACTGTGTGACAAACCACCCCAAAATGTTGTGGCATAAAACTTTACTACACTCACAATTCTGTAAGTCGGGAATCTAGGCTGGGCACAGAAGTTCTGCTCTACTCTGCTGGAGAACATCTGGGGACTCAGCTGGGCCAGCTCAGATGGCCGACTCTGGGGCAGCTCAACCCGGGCCATATGCCTGGGGCCTTGGGTCTCACCATGTGCCGGCTGCTGCATGGCTACTTCACGCCTGCATCTGGGGCCTGTACTGGATGGCTGGAACTGCTGATAGCCTCCAGGAAGCCTCTGAGCATGCTGACCTCAGGGCAGTCTGACTTTTACACAGAACTGGTTCCCCCGGAGAGAGAGCTCCCAGAGTCCCAGGCAGAAGCTGCAAGATTCCTCATGATCTGTAGCCAACAGGATTATAATTATACTATTAATATAATTAACATCAGTGTAATTAACATTATAGCCTTAATGTATAATTGAATCCTATTACACTATCATTTTCAGCCTTTGTCCCAATAGAGTGTCCTGCTCTCATTATAACAACCCCCCTCCCACCTTATGTGGTGGGAATGTCAACAGGAGAGGGAAGAATGACCCTGAAAATGGGCTTCCTCCCCTGTTTGAATGCACATCCTCAGGTAGCTGTAGCTCAGTGATAAAACACTGCCTAGAATGTGCAAGGTCCTGGGTTTGATCCCTAACAATGAAAAAAAAAAAAAAAGATTATGTGTCTTCAGGTTCTGTCTGATGAGAACCTGTTCCCACAAGGAGCCCAGTATGCTGGTATGTCGGGACAGTCCGGACAGGTAGTGTGGCCCTCCGCAGGCTGGTCTCCATGCCCATGGGCCTCCTTGACATCTGGCAACCATATTTCAGACACTAAGCTGCAGAAAAGACAAGGAGGGTAGCAATGTCCAACTCTTCTCTATACATAACCATAAAAGAACATTATGAAACTCTAAAATGAAAAGAAAGCAAAATGTGAAAGAGAATGCAGGCCAGACCAGGACAGGCCATGTGGGGCTGCTGGTTTGGCAGAAACCCTTCCCCACTCTGGCCTCTGGATCTTATTTGACCAGTTTCCTAATACCAAGAAATAATTAAAAAAAAAAAAAAAGGGGGGCAGAACCTCTAACCCATTATTTACAAAACCTTTTGGCTTCCCATAATAGTCATGTGAAAATTCTCACTTGCTCAAATGAGCAGTTTGACTTTCATTTGGAGACACTGGTGCTTTAAGCAGATCTCACTTTCCAGAACTTGTTGTAGGCTAATGATAAAGGAATTCACATTCTGGAAGCCCCACTGCTCCGGCGTGGAAAGGCTGCATGGTGTGGGGTCCAGTGACCCCACCTTTCCCTTAGTCCAGTTTCTCACCCAGACCATGAGTGTCTGTGGTATCCCCCAACAAATGGACAAAACCATCTTCTCCAGCAGCGATGAAACAGAAATGGTGTGACTTCACCCTGACACTGGAGAAGTCAAAGGCCGGTCCACCTTCCCAAGGGACCACACGGACACTAAGAGGCAGAGCTGATAGTGCTGTGGGTGCAGTGTAGGCAGTGGAAAGGGTCCAGCCTTCTCCACAGTGATGGTCAGAGCTGTCTCCCAGCCTCCTCCACTGTTGTTTATTGGTGTGTTACTAATTTACTAGTCTGACTCACCCCTGGAGCAAATAGGGCATCGCAGGGACGAGAGGGGCTTGCCATACAGGGTGCAGTATCTCCAGCAGCAAACATCTTTCTTGTAGGGCTGTTAGCTACTAATACGTAGCTCAAAGATGACCAATACATCCTTTATCAAACCCACGGTCAAGCTCAGGCATTTTCCCACTTGATTTTAAAACCAGAAAAATTCATCTGGCATTGACCTGAAATAGAATCAGTCCAGAACCCATGGTCCTCTCTCATGTGCTCTCAGAAGGCCATCCTATATTTCCATGTCCATCCTCACCAGTGGGAACAGTCCCCAACACTTCTTCTAAAACATGGAAGTTGGGCCCCCAGTATGCCTGGTGAAGGCGGAGGTGGACAGGAATGCAGAGGGCACAGTTGCAATATCAGCAGAAGCAGAATGCTATTTCTGTGATTTTGAGAAGCCATGAAAAGACATTGTAGGATCATTTATAGAATGAAAACTTGAGACAGATGGCACCTGCTATCAGTGGTGCAGAGACTTTAAGAACACTTTTTGTGACCAGTATGTACCCACTTCTCTGATTCACTGTGACCTCAGGGTGTTGTGGGAACCCTGCCTCTTTGGGGCCAGACAATGTCATGTCTCCAGAGAAGACAGGGGGACGCTGCACTTTTGAGAGAAGGCAGAAATCACAGATACGAATGGAGAGGTGAAGAGAAGAAAGACAGAAATCATCTTGAGAGAAGAATGGAAAGTCCAAAGCAAAGAACCTTCCACCCAGGCACAGCTTGGTGTGGCATTCTGACCCGACAGAATCTCCTGTCTCTTGCTGATTTGATGATAAAATATAGAGTGGACCCACAGGGAGAGCAAAAGCCTCAAGAAATAGATGGGTAATTGGCTCTGTTTGAGCACTGTTTGCATGCTCGCTGCTGCAACTGTGAGGCTCCACACCAGCATGACTAATGCCTCTCCCCTCAGCCTAAATTAGATTTTGATTGTGTTTTGTAGATGTTCACTGAATCACAGATGTTTGAGGTAAAAGGATCCAAACTTCTCAGGAACACCTCCCGTGGAGTGTGTGGGATCGTCCTCACAGACATGGCTGAAATGCCACCAGTAACTCCTTCCCTTCCAAGTCCTGGGAGCAGACCTGCTGCCCCTGAGGGAGCTCCCTATGGAGTGGGCTCCTGGGACCAGTGGGCTGCGTGTAGGCCTTGTTTTCCAGGGGTTAATCTACAAGCCCGCTCCTTAGCGTGGCTGTGAACAAGAGTGCCTCCTTGGTGACTGATGCCTGTGTAGACACTAAATGGGACCTGAGTGTCCAGTTCCTCATAGATCTCCACTGAATCCCTGCAGCCTCTGGTGGAGTAGCTCAAGGCGATGGCTAGTTCACCTCCATGGTGTTCCTCAGCCACTTTCTGGTTTGTAGTGCACCCATAGTAAATGCTTTCTCCTTGTTCTTACAGAATTTAGCCTACGAAATCATCTTAACACTTGGACAGGCATTTGAAGTCGCTTACCAACTAGCACTGCAAGCAAGAAAAGGGGGCCATTCCTCCACGCTTCCAGAAAGCTTTGAAAACAAACCCTCCAAGCCCATCCCCAAGCCCCGCGTTAGCATTCGCAAGTCAGTGGTAAGTAGAAGATAGAGGCATTCTAGAAACCTCCAGAGGGAGGGAAAGGGAGCTGTGTGGTGCGGGTGGGTGCCACTTAGAATTCAGGGCTTGCCCTTCCCGGTCCTTTCCCGTGGCCATTTCCGGGCTGGTGATCATCATTGCCTCGGCCTGGTTCCTTCAACTTCTTGAAGGACCTTCTCCCTGAACCTGGAGACTCCAGAGAAAATTCCACTTCCTCCGTCCCCCGCAATAGCAGCAAGAGGGAGGGTACTGGCTGCCCATGGTGAAGATTACCTGAAGGTCGAGGAAAGCTTGAGGATAGTGTTCCCATGGCCTCAGCTGCCATCCTATCAGGGGACAAGGCCTCCCACAAGCCCCTGGCCTCCAGAGAGATTTGCAGAGGTTGACAGTGAGGCTGCCTCTGGTACCCAGCAGGCGGAAGCTAGATGCTCGAGCATCGTCTTTTGAGAAGTGCAGGTCGTGGTCCTGGGCACCTTCCCTCCAGCAACTGAGGCTTCCTGCAGTGAGGCAGCTGCTCAGAAGGTGCCGCCCCCTCCTCATCATCTGCCTTCCTCCAGGATTCCTCCCCTTCCCTCCCACAGGCTCTGCAGACATCCTGTCCCGGCAGGCTCACATGACTTCATAGCAGTCTCCTCTGGTAGTAGCAACACCCCAAAGCTGGAAGGTTCCCAACAGCCTCCCATCTGCTTTCTGCTCCGGCTGCCGTCCTGCATCCTAAGAACCCCGGACTTGTATGGGGGAGGCCCCCAGAATGCATTGCCCTCTCACCCCTGAGTCCTTCCTCTGTAACCCTCCTCCTCCCACCAGCTCCCATCCCCAGGGTCGGGGCGGGGGAAGCACAGACATTTTTAACGCTTGCAGAGAAACACCTCCCTTGGTGACTGCGTGGCTTCCTGTTTACAACTTTCTTTTTGGCCCCACTCCTTGGCAACTTCAGCATCCATGGGTATGATCTCTCCAGTGCCTGGCCTCGCTATTCTCTCATAGTTTTCTTCCGGATCTTTCCCTCCACCCCAGCCATTCACCAGCGCATCACTCATGACTGCCAGCACCAGTAACTGCACCTTCTCTGAAAAATTTTTACATCAAACACCACATTTCAACTCCCTGGTCCTCTGGCCTCAGCAACCCAAGCTCCCACTTCTCTCTTCAACCCTGACCCACTCCCAGAACTCTAGACCTACTATGTGTTCAGTTTCTTCTTGAATGTTTAGTGTTCAACAGACATCTGAAACTTGGTATGTCTACAACAAAATGCTTGATTTCCCCCTCAGAAATGCTCCTCTTCATCTTCCCAGCTCAGTAAAGGGCACAGCCGTTCACCATGCTGCTCAACCCAAAAATCTACCAGCCACCTCTACTGCTGTTCTCCCCCACCTCTACCTCCAATCCAGGAGCAAGGGCCATTTGCTCCACCCCTGGAACACCTCAGTCTGCATACTCCTCCCCACTTCCTCTGCCATTCTTTTAGTCCAAGTGCCACCAACTCTCATGAAGCCGACACCCACAGACCTCCAAACCAATTCCCTTCCTGCATACCCAATGCCTCACCCATACCTAATGCTCCAAACACCCATACCTAATGCCTCACCATTACCCCTTGGCCCTCAGGCCTTCCCGTTCCTCAAATATATATATAAATATAAAATGCATTCCCCACCTGATGCCTTTGTGCCACCTGTTCCCTCCACCTGGAAGATCATCCTCCCAATTTCTGCACAAAGGATTCCATCTTGTCCTTCAGGTCTCGGTTACATGAAGAGGCTTTTCTTGACTGCCTCGTCTGAGGTAGCCACCCTCAAGCACATGGCCTGCTTTCAATTGTGTAGAATTTACTAATGAGATAGTTTATTGATCACTTGTTTATTGCACATCTTCCTCTACAAGAATGAATATGTCTTAGGCACACATGTGTTGTCACATTCATGGAGTATCTGGATAAAGAAATTAGGAACTGGGGATAGACTTAGCAAGTGAAACTTTGAGAATAATTAGGCTGAGAAGTGTTCAGGAACGCACTGAATGTTTGGGGGATCATCTCAGACACATTTATTCTCATGTAGGCTGGATACACTTGTTCACGACTGGTACCTCTCTCCAACTTTATCATGGTCCCCAAAGACTTCCTCCAGAAGAGCACAAAGGGTTGAGTGCTGTACAGACTCATAGAATATTCATTTAGATGCCAGGAAATAAGAAAATATAGTGTGAATCCTGTGATGCTTTCCCCTGCACCAGGATCCTTGCCCTACAGCTGCCGTCAGTATTCCATCTCCTGCAGCTCCAGTCCTTTGTTAGGAAATATGCACGGATCCCTAAGGATATGTGAAATCCTCCCACACCTTGTGGAGACACAGTCAAAACACAGTAAAGGGTAGTCAATAGGGACAGATCCTGCAGACCTGGACAGGCTGTGAAGCTCACAACCAGAGACATGGAGGAGGCCTCCCGAAGCTCCCTGCCCAGTGTTCTGGAGCAGGGGCCAGGGCAGGGCAGACTGGAAATGCCAAAGGCCAGTCCCAGAAGAACTCACCCCAGCCCTTCCTCAGAGTTTGCACTTCAAACTTTACCTTGGGAATGACCTGTCTGCGGTGCACTGGGACTAACCCATCTTAGAGCATGGTTGGGTTCAGATCAAGGCTCAGCCTGATAGGACCCCGCTGACCTCCTCACCCCAGCTGTCGCCCTCCTGTCTCCCACTGTGCAAACTGCCGCTTTCCCACACCTCTGGGTCTTGCATGCTGTTCTATCTCCCTGAATGCCTGGCCTCCCGCCTGGGGAAGGCAGACTCCCACTGGTCTTGCATCTGGCCTCCAACACTGCCTCATTCTCCTAGGAGTATTTATTCAATAATTCATTGTGTGCCTATGTGGATGGGTTTCCCAAGTTTGGGGTTGGGGTGGGGGTAACGAACAACAGAGACAAAATCCCCGCCCTCCTGGGCTTGCGCTGTCCTGGAGGCTGAGCAGATGGACATCTTACGGGGAATAAGGCAGAAGAGGAGAGCAGGAAAGTTGGGGTGCTCTTTTGCATGGGGCAAACAGGTAGGACTTCTAAGTGGCCTTAGAGCCAAGACCCGAATGATCTTGGGGGTGCAGCAGACAGGTATCTAGGGGACAGCAAACCAAGAGGAGAGAGGCCTGGGCTGGGGTGCACAAGGCAGGGCTAGAGGCAGGGCTAGAAGGACTTCAGGTGTGTTCCGCGATGGAGCGCACTGAAGGGTAGGAGAGGGAGTGGCACGGCCTTCCTCACCTCCTCCAGGAAGTCTCCTAGCCTCCCTCTGCCCTTCACAGCTCACTGCCCGGGAGAGGAGCCCTGTTTCTGTCCACCCTCGCGGGCAAGGCCGGGTCTCACCGCCGTCACCCTTGCAGGGCCTGCTAAGGTCGAGCCCCCGGGGGTCCCGGTGGAAGCGCGGGGCGCGGGCCGAGGTGGGGGCAGCGACGGCCGCGCACGCGCCCAGCACAGCGCCGGATAACGGGCATCAGCCTTTCTGTTTTAAAGCAGATCGACCCGTCTGAGCAAAAGACTCTGGCCAATCTGCCGTGGATTGTGGAGCCGGGGCAGGAAGCCAAGAGGGGCATTAATACCAAGTATGAAACCACGATTTTCTGATACCCGCCGCCCTCGCGTCCTCGCGGTGCCTTGCTCGCCCGCAGCCCGGAGCAGGCTTTCCTTCGCACCCCGTTCCCAGCCCGGGAGGAAGACTGCTCCGCTCGCGTGGCCTTGTCCCGGGCGGAAGGCCGCCGGCCGTTCCTGGGGAGTCCTTTCTGCACCAGTGACGGAAAACGCCACCCAGACTCCCCGGCGCAGCCCCTGAGAGGCGCGAGTCGAGGTGGGTGTCCCGGGGCCCGCCGCCTCGAGCGTTTCCAGTGACTCGCCCCAGCACCGGGTTGGCTTTGGTTGGGGTTGACACCTTTTTTAAAAAAAGTAAAGGGGATCTCTAATACTGCCTAGAAGTATAGCAATCCTGGGTTTAGATTTCACTGTCCGCAGTTTTAAAGGTAAAATCAGAACAGAACCCCCCTGTATCGCATCTGTAAAATCATCACATCACTGAGGATCGTTTAATGCAAAAGGACAAAAAAAAAAGTGATTGCCAGGAAATTCTGTTACTCAGTTTCTATATTTGTGGATTTTTTATGTAATCAACTATGTCAGATAATGAAAACCTTTAAATCTAATGATTGATTCAAAGTTTAACAATGATTTAAAACAGAGAAATTTATTATGCACAGAAAAATGTGTCTTGTATTAAATATTTTTATTAAAAGAATGTTTCATTAATGCATTGATAAGAAAACTAGGTTAGTTGTGCGGGATGTTTCTGGTTTCATTTCAAGTAACTAAATTTCTACTACCATGAGGACTGGCTCATTATGGAGAAATCCTGATGCTGTCCACCGAGTAGGAGATGCTGCGGGCAGACTGGCATTGACCAGAAGTGCTGAACAGCACGTGCCTGCAAAGATTGTTTTTGTTTTTTAATCTTCACAGTGTTTTAAAGAACATGTTTAAAATGATAATAATAATCTAGGGCTCCTGCTGTCAAGATTTCTGTCCTGGAAAACTTGTTTGAGAAAGGTGTTAATAAAATTCTATTGCAAAAATTTTTTTCTAGAAAATATAAATACATTAAAAAAAGAAATTCCAAAGTAATACAACTTTTCTTGAAACAGACAAAAAAAATAATGTTTGCTTACTATTTGATTAAATAAAATTTACTTACATTTCTTTAAGGTATTTTAATTTTTTTAATGTCTCTGTGGAGTATTTGTATGATACCATAATGTATATTTATGTAGAATCAAATTATATAAACAGTACCAATATCATTATAGAAAAATAACATTTTAATGTATATTGTTCTAACAGATCACATTGTGAATCATTTTGAAGTTCATTATAGAGATATTGATAAATTGTGGAATTGTCTTAATGTTTTTTTAATTAACCAATATTATTTTAAACCTGAAATTATCAGTTACATTCATCAGTTGGTGAGTTTTGAAAAAAGAATAACTAAATTTTATTTCAAACTGACAAATGTATATGGTTTTAGTTCAGTGTTAAAAGAATTTTAATACAATATTAAATTACTTGAACTGAACAGTTCCTTGTATATATTTTGCCTATTCACTGTTGATATGTACGTAGAAAATTGAGAGTAAAATAACACTAAAATATGGTACCAAAAGGAAATTGTATAGGAGCAAAGTAAACAATAGCTTTGCTGAAACAGAAGCATATGAAGCGTATGTGTAAATAAGTTTGGGCTTCCAGTTATAAATTTTGTAATTTTTGTCATTATTTATATCCTATTAAAAAAAAAAAGAAAAGCACACAAAATAAAACAGAAGTTGTACAGCCACTGGTGCTTGGCATCCTTCTGTGAGCACCTCCCCACCTCCCCAAGGAGGCCAGGCCCCTCACACCCACAGCTAAAGGGTTTCTTTCAATTGGCAAAATGGCTGAGAAAGTTTGCTCATTGCTAAGTTCAACCAGTCAGAGAAAGAAACACTGGCCTTTGAGGTCTGAATTTCAGCCAAATGCCTCCATTCACTTTGTTTAAATATTAAAGTAGATTGTAAGGGAAGTTACTAACACAGACCTCCCCACCCTGGATCACTTCTATATTACACACAGAGGGTAAGATTGGAAAAACATCACACATGGATTCGTCCGTCCTTTCGTTTTTCCTACAACACATGTGTCAGCTGTAAGGCGAGTGATGGGCCATGCTAGAGCCATATTGGATTCTGTGGTCAGTGGTTCACATGCCATATCCTGTGACCTTCAGGGGGCTTATCTCCCCACTGCCTGGTCCAAGTCTCTTACCCTCCAAAATCCACACCACAGCAACCTCAGAGCGCTTCCCATCTGGCATGCAGAAATGTAGAGGTCCCAGGGCTTTGAACCCCAACAGTTAAAGCAATCCTAGGTGGGAGAGAGTGGCCCAGAGAAAAGCAGCCTTCCTGCAGGAGGCTTTCCCTGGGCTAGTGGGGCCCCTTTTCTTCTTTGTTGGCCAAGAATCCATTAATCCTGTTTATTATCTCTGTATATCAACGGATGGTTGTAACCTCATGAGCCTCATGTAAGCACATGGCACACTGTGGTGGGGATAACTGACCAAGCTGACTACCACACAGGAGTTGGCAGAATGTAGGGAAACCACTGGGGTGGGACAGTATCCCTGGGCTGATAACAACCCGAGGGGGTATCAGAAAGGAGATTATATGGCAGGGCTGCCTTCCAGGTGGGGGACAGGGACAAGCTACAGTGACCCTCAGAGAGGAAGCCAGGGATTAAAAGTCCCTGAACTCACTCTCCACCCTTCAACCTGCATGGCATGAAGGGACAGGAAGATAGTCCACAAGAGCATCCCCATAGACCAAGGCAGAGCAGGGAAGCAGCAAAGAACACCCGCCACCCAAAGAAGAAGGGATTGGCAGAGATGGTTTTCTTCAGGGAAAAAACGGAGACTTTAATAACTGCAATAACCATGGGGTAAAAGGTAGATGGGGATCCTTGAATAATGCTAACATTATTCAAGAAAGGATTTGGATTCATCTTTTAAGAAAAAGGACTCTAGTTCAATGACACCATTTAAATTTTTTTCTTATTAACTTGTATTCTATGATAAATTTGGGTGAATGAACCCTATGAAAATATGCCTAGTCAGTTCATTAATAAGTCATAGAAGTGATTTTTCTCAAGACCCCACCAGATTTTCTCAAGTTGGAATACTTGGGAATTGTGCCAGCACATCTCATGTTTGGATAAGATGGAGCAGAAGACAGGCTTAGATAAAAAGGCATGTGCCAAATTCTCAAAAAAAAAAAAAAATCAATAAAAATTCACACTTGGACTCCAAGTAACACTGCTCCTATTTTGAAAAGAAATGAAAATTTGATAAGTGGTCTAGCCTCCAGAGAATTGGAATATAATGAAATCTGTGTGGAATAAAGCCTTTTTTTTTTAAGATCTCATATTTTTAAGTTATCTTTTTATATAGGCTATTCGGTGAGTATGTTTCTTATAAAAGCACTCTGATGGTTATAAACATGTTTTCTTAAAATATAAGTGGGTAGCCAGGCACGGTGGTGCATGCCTGTAATCCCAGAGGCTCCGGAGACTGAGGCAGGAGGATCAAAGCCAGCCTCAGCAAAAGCGAGGCACTAAGCAACTCAGTGAGACCCAGTTGCTAAATAAAATACAAGTGGGTCCAGCCGATGCAGGCCAGCAGTCTACCTGCAGCTGTACTGCATTTGACTCCCGGCACCAGCCGCCCACACTCATTCACCACAGTCTGCTTCAGGGCATCTGCAGCCCAGTGTCTCCTGCCCCACTGGAGTCCTGCTTCCCAGGAAACCGTTCCAGAGCAGATAGGCGCGTGCTGCGAGCTGGCTCAGGCCCCTTGCCCGATCCCCATGCCGCATACTGTGTGATTCCATCCGTGCTGGTGAGCTGGAACTTGCTGTGATTGAATTAATCTTTGATGCAACCAGAGAGTGCCAATTCCACTTAACTGTCTCCTGTCTTCATCTTGAGGCAATCTGCTTATTGAGAATCCGCTCGGTCTCAGCATGTGCCACTTCCCTGGGTTGCTGCTGCTGACAGCCTAGCAGTCCAGACCCCATGACTGCACTTCCTGCACTCGGTGTGCATCATGGCTGCAAAAGTATTTGCCATCAAGACAGTTTTGTTTTTTTTTTTCCCCCATCTCCAAAACCCCAGAGGCCTGTGTCTGTAAAAGTGCAGGGATGTTTAACTTCCCAAGAGCAGTTTAGCGACCAGGGATGGACGCAGACGTGTACCGAGGTCAGAATAGAGACCCTCCACGGATCAGCTCCAGTGGGGTCACCCAGCCAACGGTGGCCACTGCAGCAGCTGAGGTGACATCAGGGCCCTCACTTGGTTCAGACAGCAGAGGAACATGGGACCGGATGACAGACATCAGCACAGCTGAGCTGCCGCTTACAAGTCTCCAAGTGGGTCTCAGCGCCACAGTGAAGCCGAGGGGAGGTGGAGGCTGCTCTGCAGTCAATGTCCGCTCACAGCAAAGTGATGGAAACCCTTCAAGGCGATCCAGATTCGATACCCAACTTAACTGTCCTCCGGTGTCGGGGTGCGGCTCCCTGGAGGCTCGTGCAGCAGGCAAATGGCCACAGGCACATGGCAAGGAGTCAGGATGCCTCCGCGAGAGGCTCAAGATCCCTCTGTAGTTCTCAAAAGTGCAAGTTCGGATTTTTGAGAGAGAGAAAAAAAGAAATCCTAATGTGTTAAGTGTTGAGTCAGGGAGACTGGAAGGGAGGAGTCCCAGAGCCCATCTTAACAGCCATTTCTGGGGCACAGGTTTGTGGGCTGGGGGTGATGGACAGTTCAGATGTCTTCGGAGCCACCTTCCCCATCTCCAGTAGCTTTATGACTTTCTGAGATTCTATACAGCTAGATATCCAGTTGCTCAGAAGGGGAACTGGGTGTTTGTAGCTGGGGTGAAGGGATAGAAGAGGCAGAGATCCAGGGGTCACTGCTATTACATACCAGGTTGCTTTTAATCAGTTAAAAACTGACTTTGGAGACTAGTAGCAAAAATCAGAAATAATAGTGTCTTAAACAAGGGAGAAGTTGAATTTCCCCTAAGAACCTCAGAGATAGGATGCACAGGTCTAGAAGTGGTAGCTTTATGGTATCAAAATCTCAAGATCCTTCTCTAGTTCTACTCTGCCATTCTTAGCATGTGGTTCTACTCCCAAGTTCACCTCATCATCACACAGTGGCTGCTAGAGATGTAGCCAGTGCATCTCCTTCCAGGCAGGAGAAAGGATGGTAAGGACCAAAGGATAGTAGGATCGCCCAAATCAGAAAACCTTTAAGATCTGTCTAGGAAAGCTCCACACCACAATTTCTGCTTTTAGCTCATTGTCCACCCAGAGTAGGAGGCTGAAAAATGTGACTGCTGTTGTTAGTAGAACACTATGGCCCCCAACAACAGAGGGGCTTCTGGTGAGGTAAAGAGAGACTGGATATCAGGGTGCCACTAGAAGTGTACACACCGTGAGGATCATCACAGGAATAGGTAAAAGGCAAACGCTCACACAGATGAGAATGACTGCACAGTGGCTATAGAGGGCACTGGTGAGGATCCTGGCAGAGCTGCTGTAGAAATGAGCCCCCAGCTGTGTTAACATGCATAGCCATGCGGCCCAGCAACCCTCCCGGGAATGTCATAGCCGAGCAGATGTCAAAGAGCATGCAGCCTAGCCAACGTCACAGGCGTAACCAGGAGGGGCCTGGCAATGGGCTGATTGGGCATCAATGGCCAGAGCAGAGGCCCCCAGATCTCCACCTCTGCTGCACACTGGAATCACCAGGAACTTGAGAAAACACTGCTGTGTAGGTCCCAGCTCCAGAGCTGGGGCGAGGCTCGGGTTTGGGGAGGTTTTTAAGTTCCCCAGGTAACTCTAGATGCTACCAAGTGTGAGAGGTATTGCTCCTGGATTATCAGGCCCTGCAGGGGGTCCCGAGAGCCCCCAGAGCGCCTCCCACCAGAAGGTCCCTAGCAAATAGGTCCTGGAGAAGATTAAACCATTTGCTGAAGTCGCACAGCTGGAAAGTTGGTGCAGTCAGGACTTGACCTGGGATCCAGTGGCCAGAGGCACAACGCACCACCATACTCCTAAGCCCTGGCCGAGCAGTGAGCCCAGGTCCCTTGTCCCCACTCCCAGGCCTCCTGCCACACACAGCCCACAGAGGGCAGGTGGCAGCTTCCCTGATGAGCAAGGTCTGTCTCCTGCCACCCAATAGCCAGGAGGAGGAGGGGGGAGAGGGTGCCCAGAGAGGTGCATTTCCTAGAGGAGAAGCACAGGGCCCCAGTTTATAGACCAGGGAGACCTGGGCAGGTGAGGAATAGGGTTTGTAAGTGGGACAGAAGGTAATTATCATGTCGTTTATGAAGACCCGCATCTCAGGCGTGACATGCTCTGTGCCTCTCACAAGCCCTGCACCTTGGGCATTGTGTTCCCCACCTGACAAACAAGGCCCTGGGACATTGCAACTTTTCAAATGGAAGGAAAAGGAGAAAGGGGGACGTAGGATCAAGATGGCTGAAGAAAGCACGTTCACCCACTAAAACCGGGCCTGCCGCTAATTTGAAATGAACTCCATAAGAGTTTCCAAGTAGATGTCACAGGCTTCCCCATGAGGGAGGCAACAGCAGGGCTCCCGCCTTCCCTGCTCAGTGCTGGAATCATCTGAGAACTCCGAGCAGGCTGGGCAGTGGCTACGTGCTGGCAGATACAAAGCACCCCCAAACTCTGCCGCCCACATGCCTCATATCAGAATGGTCCTGGCTGCTTTTGTTCAAAGA